CCAATTCCTCTTCGGACTTCTGTGATGGGAATTTTTGCGACCTTAAAACAAGATAAAGAATTGCTAGTGCAATTTTATGAAGTGCGTCATCTTAAACCAGAGCTCATCAGAAAGCTGCTTGAAGGTACTGACCACCTCGATCTGAATCACAAGGGCGTGACACACTTTCCGCCACCGTGCAGTTGTTCGAAAAATGGCAAAACTACTAATTTGTACTTCCATCCACATAAAAAAACACTCGATCTCGCTGGCAGTAACGAACGCACTTATGTAGCGTCAATATTCTGCGGTAGACCTCCTCCATCTAACAGTTCACTATCGGGTTATTTGAATTCTAAGTCAACCCTACCGAGAGATACAGAGTGCGTTCGAGACACATTTAGTAATGCGACTACTCTTCGAATTCCAAAGTGGATGTTGTTACGTCGGATGAAAGTGGGGCCAGTTTCGGCGTACGCAACAATACAACGAACCCAGAAAGCTAGTTGGTATTCGGTAAATTAAACTTTTCTATTGGTTGATGGACCTTTTAAGCAATAGAACCTGACAGGGACGCCTTTGCTTTGTTCATCCATCCCCTTGAAAGATGAAATAATGTAATGTAATGATAAACTACAGAAAAGCCCCCCAATGAACCACTGCTATCTTCCAAAAGTTGTTGTATTCTCGCCCTAATCCGAAAAGATTTCAAACGCTGCTGAACACCAGCCGAAAAGAAGTGAATGACAATATACTCGTAACCCGTCCATAATCAATTTGTACTGAAATTATTTTAGCGCCCAAAGCAAACGCCTAGCAAACCGTCTGGCAGTTAAAGGAGCGTTAACTTAGGTCCGTAGGTTCATCTGATAAATTAAAGTAGTATCTGATTTGGTCTGTTGACTGCTACAACGCGCCGAAGTAGGTATCACTGAGGCACCATTTCGTCACCATGTGATGCAACTGAAAGTTAAACAGCTGGATTTTTTTATAAAATACGTTTCACCGCTGAGGGCTGCTACTACGTTAG